TAGTAGTTTTATACTTCTTCACAACTGCTTAAAAATCATCTGAAGGCCCCAAATAGTAGCTGCAATTATAACAGGGCCTCAGCCTACTTTGATTAAACTATAACTTTTCAATAATTTCACTGTATAGGAGGTAAATATAAATACAATAAACTCTCTAGATTGATGGTTTGAAATAAGCTTTTCAACATCTTGATGTATTATTTTTCCTCCATTTGACACTTTTGTAGTGCTTATGTTGGTCTGTCACATAAAATGCCAAGAAATTGTATTTAAGTTTGTGGTGATATATATATATATTTTTTTTTTTTAAAGGGAAAAGGTTAAAGAGAGGTCAAATATTCTGCACAGCACTATAAAGTTCTAAAAACAGTTTCAGTTCAATAACTCTTAAATTGTCCCGCCCCTGAATATGAGCCAGGTTCAAATGAAAGTGCTGCTTTTTCCTCCACCTGGTTGGAAAGGCAGCAAGAATAGATGAGTGCAAAAATGAAAGCAGGTTAATAACATTATGAGGATCTTCAACACTTTGTTCATGTCATTAACTCTCTTAGCAATCAGAAGTGGCTTAAAGCAATCCCCTGCCGACCAACTATAAAAGCTAACTTTCAGTAAAGGGTGTACAGCAGCACAGAGTGGTGTTTTCCTCATCTCTTTAACTCTCTCAGTTTAGTTGAACAGGTTTGCCTCTATTTGAATATAAAATACTGTAAAGGTCGTTGTCTCTAGCGTTTTATAGGGTGTTATTAGAGACGTTTTCTTTCACATCTTTGCTTAGGAATTAATTTTGTGCAATTAATCTTTTACTGTTCAGAGTTTTTAACAACTATCTGAAAAAATTATAACAGATGCTGACAGTGCAAAATATGCTCATAGCAAATTGCTTCCAAAAATGCAATTTGTACTCCAGTAATAAAGCTGCCTTTTTCATTATGTATCAGTATAAAGTGTCTCTAAAAACAATTTGGATGACAAGATGATTGTTGCCAGCTTAATAGATCAGGTCACCAGTTCCACAACCAACATTTAAAGGAATAGTACACCCAAAACATGATTAGCCTTCATTTTGTACTCACCCCCATGCTGAACAACACTCTGGAGTACTTTTTTGATATCTCAAATGCATCTGGAGATCTGGGAGGCTTCTTGCTGTCTGCTGACATTCAAATAATGGAGGTCTATGGCGCCCGAGACAGAAAGGTCCATAAAAGTCCACAAAAAACGTGTCAATATTCCTCCATACTGCTCGTCCAATGTATTCCAAGTGTCCTGAGTGGGTAGCATCCAGAATTTACTCGAAACAAAGTCATTTAGAATGTTTTTAGAGCATAAACAGTAGTTTATAGGATTTCCTAAAAGCGCGTTCACGACGCTACGGAAGCCGGCAGACCAAACCAGATGAAAGTGCGCATTCAGCGTCTGCTCTGCCAATAATGCAAGCGTAGAAGAAAAAATGTGCTGTTTACCTGTGCAAAGAAAGAAACAACGAAAGAAAAATGTCTGAGGACTTCAGTGTTGAGGAAGAGCATGAGTTCTTTGCCGAGCTGAATGCGCTGGTTTGGTCTGCCGGCTTCCGTAGCGTTGTGAGCGCGCATGTGCGCGCTTTCAGGAAATCCTATACACTACTGTTTATGCTCTAAAAACATTCTAAATGACTTCGTTTCGAGTAAATTATGGATGCTACCCACTCAGGACACTTGGAATACATTGGATGAGCAGTATGGAGGAATATTGAAACGTTTTTTGTGGAATTTTATGGACCTTTCTGTCTCGGGCGCCATAGACCTCCATTATTTGAATGTCAGCAGACAGCAAGAAGCCTCCCAGATCTCCAGATGCATTTGAGATATCAAAAAAGTACTCCAGAGTGTTGTTCAGCATGGGGGTGAGTAGAAAATGAAGGCTAATCATGTTTTGGGTGTACTATTCCTTTAACCCAGTGCAGGTGGTGGGAGTCAAGATTCTTGCAAAAATAGCATCACAGCTCAAAAATTTAATAAAGCATCTGTCAACCCATCTATGAAATAAAATAAGGGATTGTTTTATTCAGTTAATTGTAGTTGCGATTCAGTTTTTGCAGACGATGCAGTTGTATATCCATATATCCAGCTTACAGTATTCATTTCTTTTTCACAGCTGATGTTAATACTAACAATGGAAAAAACAGATAGAGGTTTTAGCACGCATGTCTAACTTCTGCTGAGTGCTGGAAAAACAAACCATTTGTTATCTTGATTAATATAGTCCTTACAAAAATGTGCATTGGGCTCTCATCCATCTGCTTGGAGAGTAAGTATTCTCTGTAGCAGGCATCTATTTATGCAAAATCTTATCAATAGAATAACTTACTGATATCACATTTAAATTTTTATGCAAACTCACTCAGAATCTTCATCTTAAAATGCCCATTTATATTATGACTTAAACATTATTGTCCTGCATGTCTTTGTTTGTTAAATATTGGGTTACGTTGGGCAGAGAGAAAAGTTTTTTGAATATTACTTTAAACTTAGCTTTTTAGAGCTGTGGTAAGTTCAAATATCTATAAACTGTACAGAACCATCAAAGTACAGAAATCTATACTTGAGAAGTGGAAATAATTGTTAATATATGATTAAATGTAATTAAACTCAGCCTAAACTCTTAGAAATTACATGTTTAAAGCACTTTATCAACTATATATATACAAAAACATTAGTTATATGATTTTTGATGAAAAGATGACTTATAATAGTAACTAAAAGGGAATGGTATTTCAAGTGGCACATAATGATATAAATATTACCATTTTCCCTATTTATAACCAGATAAGATCTTGAGGTGAAAACTCTTGCTTTCACCTCAAGATCTGCAATTTGGTGTTACATGTAAAAAAAAAACTAAAACATATCAATTCTAGCTTTAAGCTGCTGACACACCTTAAAATAACATGTCTAGAAAAGAAGAATAATCAGCTCTTGGTTCTGCAGCCAGGCAAATTAAAGGAAAATGTTCCTCTTCTTTTTATTTCAGAGCTCTTTGCTGTGTGGGAACATTTAGCAAAACCTCTGCATGTCAAACCATGTCAAGTGTTACAGTTCCTTTCCTGTTTTGGGGTGAAAAAATATCACCCTGCAAATGAATTAACAGAAAAGGGGCTTATCGTCAGACCCCTTCCTGAAATGATTAACCCTTCTAAAAGAGCATTATTAAGTTTTGAGTGCATGCGCTGTGCCGTCTCTTTGCCTGTAATTGTTCTTTTTCTGTTGTTTCCTTCATCAGGCTTTCTCCTCATTATATGGAAAGAAGGAAAAAATGCCTGAATAGGGGAGGGAAATTTTCCCACAGTCACTCAACTCAGAGAAATGCACCATTGTGGCTAGGTTCCCATCCCAGTGCCCTGCTGCTTAGTCCACCGTTGTCAGAAGCACAATGTTCTTATAATTAAGTGCTCATTCTTTAGCCTTTTTGAAAAGTACGTGATGGAGAATATTGTGAATTGCAGAAAAAATCTTGGCAGACCTGTTGACGAGTAGTGAATGACTACATATATAAAATTTTAAGTTAATATTATAAACTGCACTTATCTCGACCGTGTTTGCTCAAATAACAGATTTAATCTTAGAACCCCACACCAAATCTCAGGTCCCTGAATGTTTTCTATGCAGCTTAAGGACATTAAATAGATAATAAAGTAGGCAGCATATGTTTTACTTTAAATAAAACATTAACTCTAGATTCCAACTGCTTTACAGAAAAGCTATTTAAATTTAGTAGGTAAAAGCAAATTTTCTTATCATTGTTTAAGAAATGTTTTTATACATCAACTTAATTTGTTGCATCATCTGAATCAGCTTTATATAATATTTGGCTCATTCTTTTGCAAAGCAAAAGGTTGTAATGTTATTAAAATCTTTGTTACCACAAACTTAAAAAAAACATTTTAAACATAGAAGGTTAAGGCAAAATGTAAAATATGAAGTTCATATAATTGCAAACTATTCTTACCTTCATTAAAAATGAGAGTTGCTGCCTATTTTGATATTCTATGCTTAAGTTAAGATCAAAGTGAAAAAAAACACAAAAAAAATAAAAACAACACAAAACAAAACGCAAATCAAAACATAGATTTTTTTATTGGTAAAAAATAATTAATTCAGTATTTGTTTCTATCAATAAAGTATTTCCTTGATTGTTTATGAAAACAACGTTTAAGTCTGTCAATAAAATACATTCTAATATCTTGGGAACTACATACATGTGTATTAACCTAAACCTAAAGAAAAAAAAAACATTTGTCCAAACATTGAACATTGTGGAATACCATATTTCATGTTCTTTATCAGGAGTAAGCTGTACAAAACTGTGTCCTAAAGTTAGAGATGTTTACTCTTTGTGCATTCATTTGAATATGAATAATTTCACAGTTATACAAAAAGGTTAACCTATTACATTTTACAAATTATAATTCTAACTTGATGCATCATTTCACTTATAGCCAGGCTGTACTATAGCGCCGGCCTTTAAAGTTAAGCTATACGGTAAGTTTTATCTGTGTGGAATTCCAATGTAAACTTAATTACAGTAAAAGCAATAATATATGTATTAAGGTAAGGTGTAAAAAAGAATATATAGATTATTATTATGTAAAATTAATGCTGGATTGAGATTAGAGACTATATTACTGTTACATTTTCAATGAGAAACACAGTAAAGGACCCTAAATCCACATTACTGCATTACATCTTTTTTTCAACACCACTTTAAAGTTTTATTTGATTTGTGAGACTTAAAATCCCTGATGCTTTAAATAGTTATATATCTTAATTATATATCTTTACCACGTCATTGATTGTAATTTGATCTCCCTTCAAATGATTAATAACATGTGATGCTGACAATTTCCATTTGATCCAAAAATTACTCCCAGCCAGTACAAGCCTTCCCAGCTGTGGCGCTCGGACCAACCGGGCCACCGTTGGTGCGTTGTCATCGATCACGTGACCGAGTTCCTGCTCCCTCAGCCAATCACAGCACAGTAGTGTGAGCCCCTTCAACAGCAATGGCGGAAACAACAAAGCTAAGTGGAATTAACGCTCCTCCCAAAGAGCCCGCTGAAATGTCCAGCTACAGGGACTGCGTGGATGTGATGCTGAGGCACCTTTCACACTTTGGAAAACAGGTTGGTTAATAGGGTTTAGGTCTAATTCACTTTAAAAAGGTGGTTAATGAGCCTCGTGCTAATGCTTTTAGCAACATGACGCTAGCTTCGGCTAACCTCCCGTTCATTTACTGTTTTGATGCTGTTAGATTGTTTTGTTTAGTTATCCGTTACCTGTGACAATTTTTGTTATTTTCTTACGGTGAAATAACTTTATATTGCAATTATCCTATATGATACAATTATTTATTTGGAGGAATTTTGTTTTTTGTGTGGGTATAGAAATGTAAAATGTCTGCAACATCGCCTATAAATACTCACAGTTGCTTTATCGTATTACTTAGCTATCTTAAGATTGTTACTGTAGCTTTTACTTTTTTTCTCTCGAGTTTGTTTTCTCTTTAAACTTTAGCTAACCGTTATTTTCCTCGGGCAAGCAACAGGCTTCTTACTGAAAAAGACCTATAAAAACTGATCAGAGATGAACTATTCCATGGATGAAAAGTATTTTGAAATATTTCCTGAATGTTATTTGACACTTACAAACTTCTTGATATTAAGGATGACTTTTTTGTATTGTAAAAGTAAAATTGGCAATTAAAACAAAATTACATTCCGCCATATATATTATTTTCAATGTTTCCTTTGTTGTTGT